GTTCCAGGATCAACAAAGATGTTGACCCAGGAACATGTTGTACTTGGTGAAATCCCGGTCACCGCAAAGCTTTGACTTACATTTACAACTCTATTTTAAAAAATATACAATATACAATACTAATTTTTTTCTGCTATTCTACACACCTCTGTTGTAGCTTCTGCTCTTATTTTGTTTTAGAAATGTTGTGTTTTTTTCAAGTAATTGTCTCTTACTGTTCTTGTATGTTTACCATAGTAGGTGGAGGAGGAGGAGCATACCTGTCATCATTTGGGTACCAAAATCCAGGAGATTTGAGCTGAGGGTGTGATGGGGGGATGGGGATGATTGGTCAGGGTATCTGCAGGATTTTTAAGATAAAATGTAAGACTTTTAAAGGCCTTTTTAAGACCTGCATAAATAAAATTAATATTATATGAGCAGGTAGCACAATGTCTATGGTAACATATTAAAGGTCACATATTTTACACCTTTCTGGAGTTTTATTTTAAGTCTTGATGTCCTTAAGAATATATATTTGCGGTATAAGTACCAAATACCATCCCAATATGTTTTTACAGCTCCTCTCTCAGGAGCTCTGTAAAGAACAGGTCGATTTTGGCCTGTCTAATTAATATTCATGAGCCTCTCTTCTGATCCAATCCACAGCAGGCTACAGCATACATGACCCTAGTTACCTGTGGTTGGCCTGTCCGTGCGTCACTCAGAGAACAACAGGGCAACCACAGGTAACTGGGGTCATGTTTGCTGTAGCCTGCTGTGGATTGGTGATACTCACAAGTAAGGTCAATAGAAACACCGGTAATGATGGTCACTGCTGAGGGAAATGTTGTCCGGCCTTATATGTTTGAGCCGAACTCAGACCCCGAATCGGCGACGACAGGAGACAATCAACCACCTCTTCAAACGCGCTTCAAACAGGATGTTTCAGAATGGTAATTCATGTTTTTTTTTTTCAAACACCGAATGCACTGCAGTAAATACAAACCTGACCAGCCGAGTGTTTGCGGTCACGTCAACTTGAAGACACTTGTACAAATGCGGATGGGTGACATGAATGGAAATTATTCCAGATTTGCGATGTAGTATTTGGTTTCTGTATTCTGTACTGTATTTTCCTGCGCTCAAACCTGCCAATCTAAAGGATCAAATGCCGTGTATGGAGTTTGAGGTAATTTGTGAATTAGCATAGACTTATAGTCTAAATAAAACAATTTGCAACTGTTACTATTATTACACTTGTATACAATACTTGTTTGTATTATGCTTGTTATAGAGTGTGTGACGTCACATGCACTACCGCCGCTGGCAATAGACAACGGTTGTCACGGCGACCGTCACAGCCCTACGGTGCAATGATGTAGTTTCCTGACATCCAGACTGAACAGCGCTTTCTCGACATGTTTCCGTGTTGCTGTTGCTCAGCAATGGCATGGGTGCGATGTTGTCTGGGGGTTTGGCAAAAGGAGAGTGGGACTGTGGGCAGTGCTCAGGGTGGTGACTGAAGGCGGTGACAGTAAATAGCAATAAATTAATTTTCTGATTTCTCTTTATGGTCTTGCCCTTTTTTGGGTTAAAAGGCAAAGTTCAGTATAAACCTTATTGATGATGTATTCTTTGTGTAGCCTACGTTTTAGAATGTCACGCAGTTTTAGTGATTGAAATATTGAGGCAATCCATATAAATCCTCTTTATTTATTTTTTGTTTAAATCTTTGTGGCTCGGAAACAGATGGAACATTGACAGGCTTGTGCTGCAGTTCTATGGA